CGGTTCCAAAATTATATTTGGACCGACGGTTCCATTTACTAAATACCCGAAAATTTCTGGAACCGAAAAAAATCGAACCGAACAGAACTGAACCGACCCGCGCTCACCCCTAGTGGAGACGAAACTCTTTCCTAACAACCGGGAGGTTCTCAGAGAGAACTTTTAACACATACGTACTTTTTTAAAAAAGAAAATAATGCTGATTAAGGTGATTCGACGCATGTTTAACAAAAAAAAATTGTTTTCTTATAAGATGTGATCCCACGAATCGTGTTTGGATCAAATTTCATGAGCTCAAATAGGAAAGATAAAATGAAAATTCTCAACTAGCTTATAAATTAAACTAAGCATATGAATTTTGTTTCACACATTTGTGAGACTCCAATTTATAAGAATTGTCAAATGCATGCTCTCAAAAAGGTGTTACAGCGTGTAAATGAGAGGTCCACAATTCACATCTACACGCTAATTATTTATGAAAACTGTAAATATGTTAAAGTTTTAATAAAAAAATGAGCAAGCATGACATGAAAGGTATATTGAAGATTTAAATTAAATATATAAGTATATACTCTTTCATTGTTTAACATTTTAAATGCAGTGGTTAAACGAACTGAACATAAAAGTCTTTAAAGAAATGAGTTTTCCGTAGAGCTGTTAAATTTCTTTTTCAGAAAATCCTAGACTATCTGTGATATTAAGGGCCCATTTAATGTTATTTTGAGAATATATTTTGTGAAAAGTAATTTTTTTTAAGAATGTACACTTAAAAAGTAAAAAAAAAAAAATATGAATTTATGTGTAAAATTATTTTATTAAAAGAATATGTAAATATAAATTTTTAAAAATAATTTTTATAGTATTTGTACCAAGATTAAATATAACATGCACAAATCTGCAAGCACAATATTTTCTTTTAAAAAGCACTTATTATCATATTTTCTACGTACTATAAACACGTGGAAATACAAGGAAATCGAGGAAATGACCGATTGACCTGGTCATGTTTCCATAATGGTCCTTGACCATTAAAAAAGAAAAAAAAAGTTAAAAACTAAAATGATTAAGTTAAAAATCAAAACCCAAAAATACACTCATTTTCAACCAAGTGTTTGAGTGGAGAGAAAAAGAAATTTCAAAAAAACCCTCACAGTCTAATAGTTGGGGTCTAGTCGAATAAGTCATCCTCACAGTCAACCCAATGTCGACCACCACACAATCCGACCATTATTTTCAAACAAGGTTAGTTTTTTTGGGGATTATGAGATTGGTTTTTCTTTTATTATGTTTCAAAAATTCATGAATTAAATTATCATGTATAATGTTTATTTTTCATTATTTAGGTAGATTATTGGGTGTAATAGTGATTTATACACGTATTTTGCAATTTAACACCTTATTCTCACTGGAAACAATGATTTCTCGTCATTTTCGGCTAGAAACAATCGGCTTGGTCGACTGTTAAACAATCGATTTGGGCCAACTTCATTCGTGTTCATTTTCGTCGCTTACAAACATCAATGGCAACTATTGTCGACACAAACAATCGTCAATAATAACTTGTTTAATTTCTTTACTTTGAATTCAAAGTTATATTTCAGTACAATTTGGTGCACAACATCTTGCAAATCTTTCTTGGTTTCAAATAGTTGCTCGACTTACGATCCTTATCATTGGGAACCACACGCAAAGAATTAGATAACGGTCCACTCGATCCAGCCATTGCTCTCCCGCCCTACTCATGCCTCTGACGTGATAAAGAAATCAAATACTCATTTGTAAATTCATTTTATTTTTGTTGTTATGAACTATCAACAGAATTCTATATATAACAGCGAGATGATAAACAACTGTCTCGGGAATAACCACATTATCCTCACGAGCTATCTCCAGCGTCTTCCAAAATTCTTTGGCATTGTGATCTCCTCCATCCAAATTTTCGTGTTCACTTTCGACGACATTCTTCCTTACTAAAATCACGCAAAGAGGAGTCATGTGCATTTTGTTCAATTCAAATAAACAATTCACTTCAGTATCAAAAGTAATCTTCATAGGTGGAATCAAAATGGATAAGTATTCTTTGAATTGAAATCTCAGTTCTATATCGTATTGAGATGGATCAACTTTCAGTTTGTTTTATAAATTATGGTACATTTTCGCATAAGATGTACTCGACGTTATGAAAATTGGAATACCACCATGTATGCTACTCGTTCATTTCCACACCCATCGATCTTTTCCATCCAATTCGAAATCACTAAAGTAACAGACTGAGATTACAACCATATATGCATAATGAAACATAATTTTTAATTATAATAAACAAAATAATCAGATAATTGATACAACCACTGGACGACGGAATTTTTTTAAAAAGAGTTCTAACAGCTGGTTGCCTAAGGTTGTCAAGATTAGTCGGAATCATTACCATAAATATACATGCAGATGATTTTTTTTGTAATTTATACTTAAAAAATTATAGATCCGTCAAAAAAAGTTATCTACATATTAATCTATGTCGAAATAAGATTTATCGATTAAAAATATATACTAATTTAATAAAACGAAATTAAACATATATAAATATACTTAACGATTCAAAGTGATATATGTAAAAAAAAACTTTATTGTTCAGTGTTTGATTAATTTCTGAGATTTTGAGATTGAAACAGATAAAAAATGAGATAATTTTTATCCGTATTGGAATAAACAAATAAGAAAAGTTAGTTGATTTTGAAACTTGAAGTCAAAAATGTTTATTTTTACTTGTTAACTAAAATGGTAGTATTTTTTTTAAATAAAATAATATTTTGTAATTGTATTGTTTACTTAAGAACATCTTTGTCTTTTACCAGTCAAAATGTCATTGTGAAAATATGTAATTGTTGAAAATTTAAAGTGAAAATTAAGGGGTTTGAACAAGTCAATTTTAAAAGTACTCCCCATCGACGCGAATAAAATATAAATTATATAACTTTTTCCCTCCACCCACTTCGTCTTTTTCTTTATATTTCGAGTCTTTTTACCAGTGAAAGTTTCCTGTCAAGTTACTCGTATCCATGCTAACTATAGGAAAGTGTGACAAATACGTAGAATTCTTCATGGACTTTCATTGATTATCATTTTCATTTCACTATTTTACGAATGATTATATGACTGCAAGCATTGGGCACAAATCTTTCTTTTTAGAAAATAATACCATTTGTAAGTAGTGCTTACTCATCAGCATTTATATGACAGAATAATAATTATAATTTGATATACATTTTAATTCATTAGAGAATATGACAATAATTATAATTTATAAACACGAAATACTAATAACATTATTCTTTTCTATGAGTTAGTTACAACCATTCTTGGAAATTTTTCATGGTAGTTATTGCCAATCACATACATAATTACAAATAAAAAAATTCTTTAACAATATAAAATGATCAAGAGCTATATTTTAGGATATTGCTTAGCGTTTGTTTGACATAATTTATTTAAAAAAT